AACAGTCCATCTCGCTCTGCTCTGTCCATCCCTGCCTGTGCATTTCCCTCCTTCTACTTGGATCACATCTTGCAATGGCACTGCAGCAGCTGCCAGCTCAGCATGCAAATCTGCTGGCACAACTACTACATCCAACACAGGAAAAGCACCAGGAGCACATGGCCTGGGACAGGATAGACAGCAGGATCATCCCCTTCAGCAACAACCACAAATACTTGTGGTTCGGTTTAAGATTTTGTCAGCTGTTCCTTGCGGGGGAGAGGTCACTGTCCCTAAATCAAAATCATCTAGTGATGTTTCAAAACTAAATGAAAGAATTAAATGTGCATTAGCTATCTACACACTCTCACACTCAATTTCCTATTGGTGAAGTGGGGATGAGAGTTCTCTTTGATCTTACAGGTGTTTTGTCAGTTTGACTCCATTCATTCTGAGGCATCCGAGTATACTAGTAGGTATTTGTCTCTCACCATCATCTCAACAGCCCATGTTCTTCTGTGTTTTTTGTCTCTTCCTGACTCTTAAACACTGCATTTTGTAACCTGACTGATCTCTTAACACAGATGCTTTTTCTTATGAAATTGTTACTAGCTAAATATAGACAAATACTTAAATCAACTTAAGCATCAAAAAATAGTGGAGCTGAAGTAATAGCTTATACATGGCAAATATAGTTTCTGTCTGCATTTTACAGAAATAAATATCCAAATAATTCTGGTTTGGAAATGATCCAGTGTAGGAAACTACCCTGAAAACCGTCCATTTCATTTCTGCCCACGTACTTAAGCGGGAGATGACACTTCTGTTTTTAATCCTTGTTGGTATAGGCCTTCAACTATCACAAGATCAGCAGTAAGATGTTTTAAAGCAGTTGTACAAATTTCTTTCCTTGCTTGGGGACAGCCATACAGTGCTTTATTCACCTGTCTGTTCACTGTGTCAGGTGACACTGCAGAGCAGCATTCCTGGTGGCTGCCAGCTCTGGAACTGCTCTAGAAGCAATATGCTCCATTATACTAAAGCACACTTTCTTTCTTATCATTTTCCCGTCTTCTTCAAAACCAGGCATTTCTAATGAGAAAACTAGAGTTATTAAAAAGCCACCTCTTTTTTCTAAATTAATCAAGATTGTGGAAAATAAATCGTTGATTCTATATAGTTATGCTGTGCTATAATGATTAGGCAACTTCTTATTTTATTTCTAGTAAAGCTTTCCAGTTTCTAGTGCATTTCTCAAAGGGAAATCATCATTTTCATAGTGAAACCTGCCAAGACTGAATTAATACTTCATACAGCTTTTTTACATTTCTTTATCAGCTCAGTCTAAGACAAGAGCACGTCTGTACTACTTGCTTAAATGCCTTTGCTATGAATTTATAGTCTTCACAATGTTATCTATTGTGAGGGTAATGTTACATATGAATGCAAATTATACATCTATACTTCATTATAGGTTGCTTTCCAGACCCTCCACTTAATGTAGGATACTTTTTTGAATGCACATATATAGAAAAGGGGTTTTTTTTTTCAGCATCCTGCAACATGAACTATTTGTCTGGCATTAGAGGTTAGAAATCACAAACTTAGGGAAACTCTAGCCAGAAATCTGAGACAGTTTAAAAGGCATTCAGTGTTTTCATGTCAAAGATGAATGTATGCTTGAAAAATCTCTTTCTCACGCTCAGGAAAGCTAAGAAATTCCAGACATTTGGGAGGGTCCTACAAATGAAGGATTTTTGGCTTCTTCTTTCAGCATAGTTCACAATTTTTAGGCAAGCTTACAGCAGCTTTTTAACCACCGGAAATGGCCATAGTCTCAAAACATTTTCACTTTTTTCCCTAAACTTTGCTTTTGTCAGCATTTATACTGACAAGAGGTAAATTGTAATTACCTGTTTCTCAGGTAGAAGCAGGTATTCTGGTCTTTGAAAACCAGAACTTGCAGTTAGGGATAAACATTCAATTACTGGAAAGCTTCGCAGAAGGCATGGTAAAACAACAGTTTTACCATGTTAAACATGTTACCATGTTAACAGTTCCATGTTCCAACCATTACACAGCAAATTATTGAATAGACATATGGAGGAGAGACCTCATATTTGTACATTTTTTTCCACCCCACCGTCACAACAAAAAGATTTTTTGAGCTCATTCATAATGAACTTGTTCCCTTCATCCCTTTGGCTGCTGCCTCACACTGCAAAATTTGACCTCCTTTCTTCCAACAGAGCAAACAATAAAGGTGCAGATCCTCTACTGTACTAAGGTCTAATTGTGGTGGCACCTGCAGTTTCCAGTGTCAATCATCATATATGTGCACATTTAGGTGCTTTCTTCTACTACTTTCCCTGTCTTTACCTTGAGTGGAAGATGCCTGTTGATCCCAAAGTGCGACAGTAACAAGTGTGGAACCAGTAAAGGACAGTTTAGTGACAAGGATTGTTTAGGGACTTGGCTTCACAGAGAAGTCTGCTGCTCTCAAGAAGAGTGACACTGAAGTATTATATACTGCTTCTTTAGGTTTGGCTGCTTAGGAAACAACTGAAAGTAACCAATAAAAGAGTTCAGTGTCAGCACAAGGCAGTTACTTCAAGGTAACAATGTAAGAGAGAAAGTAATTCACAATAAATAGATTTTTTCTTTATAGTTGGGGAAAACAACTTTCAATACTTAAATGGACTTTAAGCAATAATGTAAATAAGTAAATATGAACTTTAAGCAATGTTAATCAGAGCCACAACCTCAGTGGCTCCACAACAGCTCTACTGGAGTTTGAGCAAATAGCCAAAACACATGATACATTTCTGCTATCTTTATGCTTCTATGCCAGTTTCATCTGACAGCAAAAGCAGAAAAACACAGAGCCAAGATAAGGCAAGTCAACCCATCCATTTGTTATGACCAAAGCTGAACTCTAACTGTGGGGATTTACTACTTCATACCATATTCCTGTAAGGGTTTTTTGCACTACACTTAATGGATTAAAACCAGCTCTACCATCAATGTACTTAGACTTCAAGCTCAGCAGTTGTACCTCCTTCCACTCCTGAGTTTTCACTCACAGGAGGAGCCAGCACCAACTGTATTACAGAATTTGAACAGTGAGTTGCAAATGGTGCCTGCAGTCTTCTAAGAAGTACTGTCAAAAAACAAACTTCAGGGCTATTATATCATTATTGTCTGTGGGGATGTTAGATGGTGACTGCACCAGCTTTTTAGATTGTATTTTCACTATTAACTTTGGCTAAAATTTTCCAGACACAGTTTCCCCTTATGCTGCTTTAAAGTATTTTAGACTTGGTATGTGCTGAAGTTATTGTTTTTTACATTAGTATGATAGCTGAAGAATTTCTCTAAAGTATGCTATGCGACTTGTTCCATATCTGAAAAAGAAGCAAATTCAAGTGAAAAATACTATCTATGCTTTAAATTAGTACTATCAAATTTGAAGAGGAATTAAGCATTTCCAAAATACCTGTTACATAAAATCCATTTACCTAGTAAATTTTTGGGTAAGATATGCTGAAAAATAGAACTATCTAATTTGTTCTGTTCAAACTTAAAAGTGACAGTAGTCAATCCATGTTGATACATTACTTTTTACTGTGTACGTGTGTGGTATTAATGGAGGAAGATGTTTCTACCCACTGTTCAGCCTCATTGCCAAACAAACTGAACAGGTTAAGTATGTACACCAAGAACCAAGCACTTTCAGATCTAAATAATAATGAACTTCAGATGACTGCCGCCTCACAGAACTACTGGTACAGCAAGGTAAATTAAACGCCTCAAGCTAAGCTTCTCCCTAGCCTTAATTACTTTGTTACACCACACCAATTCATCGTCAGGCTTCCTGTTGGGTGGGTCTTTGATCTGTCCCGAAATTACCTATCACAAAAAATAACCCTCACTGCCTTCATCTAGCTGACACTAAGGCTATAGCAAGGTAAATAGGAACAGCAGGCACCAGGACCGCTCCATGATGGAGCGCACAACTTTCCCCTTTCCCCAAAACCAATTTAGAACTCCTGGAACACAAAGGGGAGTGGGTGCAAACACCAACAATCCTGTTTCAGATCCATGATGGGAAAATTAAAATAGCCGCATTTAAACTCTTTTCTCCAGTACTGCAAGACAGTTCTCAAAAGCCTAGGACATACAGTCAAATCTAAACACTAAACCCTTTCCACCATAAAACAGCAGCAGTGGCGTTCCCAGCAAGCAGCGTGTAAACACAGGATTTAACCAGCCTGTTTAAAGACTGAAAGACTGCAGTCTTGAACTCAATCGAACCTCCCCAGCAGAGACACACTTGTGACATTTTGGAAGTCGACTTTACAAATAAATAAATAAAACGACTTTGCGCTTTTCAAACTCTACGGTACTATAGATGCAAATTTGGGGTTTTTTTGCGCTTAAGTCACAGCAACGGCGGCAGTCACGCTAATAGATTAGCTACCGATTTCCCGGCTGGATTTATTCTCGAGCCCGACGGGCACAGGCTCGGGCGGTTATCCCGGGAGAGAGAATTGCCGTGTCCGCCCGGTGCCGAGCGCGGGAGGGACGGCCGCCCGCGGCGCGCTCCGCCGGGGCCGCAGGTGCCTGCGGGGCAGGGGCGCGGGCAGGTGTCACGGCAGGACACCGGGATCAGGGCAGGTAACTGGAATCGCGCTAACAGCCTCCCCCGCTGCTCGCGACAGGGAGGGGCGCTCCCGGCGGCGGGGACACACCTGCCGCCCGAAAGGGGCCCGGCGAGGTCCCGGCGTCACGGGGACCCGCGGGGCGCGGGCAGCGTCCTCACCCCCTCCGGCGCCCGCGAGCGCCGCCCCGTGCGCCTCTCCCGCCCGAGCCCAATTTAAACTGCGTTACTGTCCCTCGCGCAAAGCACCAACGCCGCTGCTCCCGCGCGCCCCGCCCCTTTTCCGCCCGCCAGCCAATAGCGGAGCCGCTTCGTTGCCCTCCCCGCCAATCAGGGCGCGTTTTATTGCGGGCTGGGAAGAAGTGCTCGGTGCGCGCGGCCGCCCCTGTGGAGCTGGTCCCTGGCGCGGAGCAGACGAGTCCTCCTCCTTCTCCTCCCGCTCCCCCGCCCCTTCTCCCCGCGCTTTGTTGGTGCCTCTCCCTGGAGAGCGGCGGCGGCTGCGGCCGGCGGCGATGCCCGAGTTCCTGGCGGATCCGTCGGTGCTGACCAAGGAGAAGCTGAAGAGCGAGCTGATCGCTAACAATGTGAGCCTCCCGGGCGGCGAGCAGCGCAAGGACGTGTACGTGCAGCTCTACCTGCAGCACCTCACCGCCCGCAACCCGCCCGCCCTCGCGCAGCCCGACTTTTCCAGCGACGAGGAGCGGGAGCCCACACCTCTCGGAGCCCGCAGCCGCGGCGCTGCCGCCGCCGGGCGGGTGAGTACCGCTGCCTCCCGCCCGCGCCGCCTCGGCTTCCTGGCAGCCTCGGGCCCGCTTTCCCGCCCGAACGGGGCCGGCCGCCTCCGCCCGCCGGCCGCCGCTCGGGGAGCGGTACGACGCGCCGGGGTCCCCGCACGGGTCGGGAGTATCTCCAGCTCGGCTGAGGGTGGGATCGTGCCCGGCCGGGACGGTCCCGCCGCCTGGGCGAGAAGGGGCAGCGGCGCTGGCGGGCGGCCGCCCCGCTTCGGGGACGAGCTGGAACGGCGGGTCGGTGCCGGGGGCCGCTGGCCGCTCCTCCAGGATGCGTCCCGCCTAAGCGCCTTTTGGAGCGGCTGGCTCGGGGGGTAGGGGCAGCGCGACCGCGCGTGGAGTGTGCGACAGCCCCCCGACTGTAAATTAGGAAACCTTTACTATAGCTTGGCGAGCGGTCTCCTAAGTAGACTATTTCGGTGCTGGAGGAACGAAGCAAGAGAACTGGACGAGGTTGCAACTTGCTCAGGAAAGGGCTCCCCCCTGCTGTCTCGGTTGTACGGTAGTGTAAATGCCGTACTCGGTGTAAATGCCTCTAAATGAAAGGATGAAGCTGTGAGGGAACAGCTGGTTTGTTTCACTTAATGAAGTGGACTGTTTAGTGTAAAGAGGGTCTGCATAATGTAGATGTCTTGCTCGTACCTCTAAGATGTGTTTTATAGCAAAGCGCCTCTGGTGCCTGTTCAATTCGTCCACTGCACTTGTTTTCTTAGACTTTACACATGTAAGGAAAGAGGGGTAACTGGTGCCATTTGGAATTTTTCTCTTTGGGAAAAATGTGATTTCCTTCTTAATTTTTCATAAGTGGACTATAAATTTGCATATATCGAGGAAGCAATCTTGTAATTGATAATTGTAACATGTCTGGTTTCAAGAAAAGACTTGAATAATGATTATCAGCTTCTGGAGTCCTAATGTGTGTGATAGTATAACTATTTAATTGTGTCTTAGATACTATGTTTCAAAGGTCATTAGTTTAAGAGAGTGCCGATAAACTGAGTCCTTTGAAGGTCTTTCACACTTTAACCATCAAAAGCCCAAGAGAACAGTTCTTGAATTAAAAAATTGAAACTGCAACTTCAAGAGGAACGGATCTCTAAAACCAAGTTATTTACCTTAACATCTGTCCATTTCAAACACTTATCTGGCGTTTACTAAATGCAGTTAAAATGAAACAGACGTTTCTCTGACTTAGAGTGTTCTGCGTATATAAGGTGCTTTTGAGTAAAACGGGATGTGCTTGAATCTGACTTGTTTCATGCTTGTCAGAGAAGGAACATCTCAGAACTGTAGTTCCTATCCCAGACCTGAGTTTTCCTTTCCACAAAGTTTAAACAATTACGGGTAACTTTTTTGATGTTCACAGAATGGGTGGTACTGCTGCACTTTTGTTAACAATATCTGGAAGGCTCTGTGCTATTTGTGCTTATCTTGTGTGTTAGTATCAGAACACTGTATCATCAGAAGTTCCGGAGCTTCAGCGAATACTCCAGTGAGTGTTGCTCAGATTTGGGTCAGTTGTGCCCTGTGTTATGTCACTTTCCCCTCATTCCTCACTCCGCCTCGCCCCCCCGTCCCGCGCCACAAACAACCAACATTAAGCCAAAACGCTCAGAAAAATCCCAAACAATACCTGCTAAGCAAAACAATCTTGGATGATGTGTGCTTGTTGCTTTCTTTGAGCCACTTGAGTAGTTCTGAAACTGCTTGTATCCCGAGTAGCGTGTCCCTGATAGTGTCTCTTGGCATAATGGTGCTTCTTGTAATCAGTTCTCCTTCAAAAAGATTAGCACATGTGTCTCCAGAGCGATTTGCCCCCAGAACAGTTGGAAAGTAGAGGAAGAGTGAGGGAAGTCTGACATCCCAGGGACTGGGATTCTGGTGAAAAACCAAAGCAAAATATCTTGATAAGATTGAGAGAGGACGGGAGGGAAAGCACTCAGGCGTCTGAAAGATAGAAATAAGGGGCAAGGGGGGAAGCTGGAACTGCAAGGATTTATGGATAGGAGGAATGAAATAAAGGAACAGGCTTTCCCTCTCTCCGCTCTGGCCCGCTCGCCCTTCCCTTTCTTACGAGCAGATAGTTAGAAGCGTCTGGCTGAGTTGCAGTCCTCGCGTGTGCGGAGGAGCCGGAGGGCGGGGCAGCGCGGGCGGGGTCGCGGCGGTGCGGGCGGGGCCGGGCGCCAGGGGGCGCTCCGGGGCCGGGCGTCGCAGCGCGGGGCGCTCGCTGCGAGCGGCTCCTCCTGCGGCAGCCGCGGGGTCCTGAACGGGACAGGCAGCGCTTTTCTTAAAATGGGGGTGAGTAACAAGGGCACGGGAATAATCTGAACATCCATGCTGCAGTCACTGAAAGCTACGCCAGGTCTCTTCGTACTGGCATCAGAGTTTTGACATGGCTGTCGTCATTAGTGATTTTGAACTGTTTACATTGTCATTTTAGCGTGTTTTTTTCTAAGTTCAGAGCATTTGATAATGCATTTTGATGTTTATTTTCTACTGATAAAAGCTGTGCACAGAGAAAATTCCATAGTTTGAATTCTGTTGCAAGTTACATGTTTTGAATCCATCACTCTTCTGGCTTAGATCTATCCAGCCCAAGAATAAATAGCTCACTTTGGCTATATATTCATACCAGAAGAGGAAAAGCTTTTAAAATCATGCCTGTTTGTGCCTCAGTCTGATAGTACTGTGTGGAGGAGCCAGTTTCTCCAGATCGACTAAGGTTTTTGAGGAGCTTTTTTTTTTTTTTCTTCTCTAAGCTTTTTTAGCATAGTAGTCTGTGAGGACTGTGACTAGGTATGGAAGACACTGTTTTGCTGCAGGGTGAACCATCTGCATCTGAATGCCCCTTGTCCTGGTTAGTTATGGGCTGGATATCAGCTCAAGTAGCTCACAGGAAAAGTAACTATAAAATTAGGTTTCTGCCTCTCTAGGACTATTACTTTAAAACATGTACCAAAAATATTGTCTTGACGCTGTTAAACAAGAACTGTTCAGAGCTTAGAATATGTAGACTATTATGATTGAGCTTATTGTGTATTTCATGTCCTGGAAGAATCATTTCTAAAACATATTGAGTGATATTTTTGACCTTTAAAGTGATGATATGAAAAAGATCAGTCAACTGTTTCCTGTTAATGAAGGTATGATGAGACCATCTGGACCTGAAGGGCCTGTTTGAAAGGTCATACAAGAGACCTATCAGGTAAAGATGTTTGATTTGATGGGGGGTGGAGGAAGAGTTGTTAGTTTGGGTTGTTGGAGCTTTTTGTTCTAATCAAGTAGCCAAGTAAATAAAGAGCCAGCTTCAGCTCTTCATAGTCAGAATGCTGTGGTTGTGGTATCTGTAGCTGAGATGACAACAACAGCTTCAAGCCCTTCCTTATTGGGAAAGAGAAGGTAATAGTAAAACTGGTATTTTATGAACATTAGGTGTGTGGAAAGTGTACTGGATAGGTGAGACAGCAGCTGTGTATGCCCATTGAAGGCAGAGAATCTATTCCATGTTTCCTGTGTGGCTGTACCTGACGTGCCGCATGGATGTCACCCAGAATACAGTTTCAATCCTTTGTGGACGTTTAAAAGGTGCTCATCTGCTGGCTGAGAGAAAGCTGTGGGCAGGGATGAGGAGACCAAAGTAATTCCCACCTACAGCGAGAAGTCCTGCTATGCTGCTCTGCACCTTCAGACTTTGAACGGGTGCATTTCCTTCACCAAGTAACATGGAAATTAGGGTCTGGGAGGAGAAGGGGGTGGAAGGGTTGAATAGTCCATAATCTTATAATTTATGACTGTTACTGTACATAGATTTGGAAATTCTAAGTCTGGCACTTACTAATTATGGTTAGAAGGTAGCAAATACTTTAAGTTGTGTGTATCAGTATCTTTGAATTGCTGCTACATAATTTCCATTGTTTATTTTGTCTGTCCTGTAGCTTTTGGTAAATATTGTCTCTGGGCCTTTAAGGTTAAAAAGTTCAGTAGGACTTGATTTTTCAAAAAGGAAATTCTACTGCAGGAAATGATTGTCTATGGTACAATAAAAAGTACAAGGGGAATAAAGACCTATCTATTTCACTGTATAAATCTGTTATTCTGTTGGTGTGATTTGGGCTCTCTTTACCCTGTTTTAACCTTGTTCAGAGAAATTGTAAATAAACCCTGACCTTTTTTGCATTTAGTGATGAAGCTGTACCTGTTTGGGATTAAAATCATTGTGTATCCTGATGTAGATGCCATTTAACTTGGGATTTGAAAATAGTTTTCTGGTGATGTTCCATAGTTGTTGAAGAAGCTGTTGAATAATAAAACCAACATCTTTCTTATGCTTGTCTCTGGGACAGTGCTAGGACTAGTACAGGTGCTTATGAAGGTTGCTTGATTAAGCTGGTCTTTGGTTGTTCATTTCTATTCAGCAGAAATGCCAGAGGTAAGGGGTAGGTAGCTTCTTAAGTCTGAATTCTGGTTGCTTGCATATTCTGCTCTTCTTGCCAGCAAAAGATCGTGAAAACTTTGTGCTGTCAAGAGATGATACTTGGAGAAGATGAACTTCTCCTATGATGTTTTTCTGTGGCCCTAGTACTGACAATGCTGTGTGGCAGCCCCATGCTTATAATTCACTACAATACTTGTTTGAAGAGTTAGTTCCTAGGCAGTCGCAAACTGAGCCTGACAGATACCACTACCAAATTGCTATCTCTGATGTGAACAAATCTCTCTCAAGTGAAGTATGCAGATAGTCTTCCATCTTCTGTTTTCTAGAAAATAACAATGACTAGAAATATTTCTTTTATGCTGCGAGCTCTGGATGGGATTAGAAGATCTTCAGATAAGGATTTATTGATTTGGGTATATTGTTGCAAAAATATTTACATAGATTTGGGTGTATTATTGAAAAAAATATTTACATTATGGGGAAAGTGGTCAGCTGCACCACCTTACTTTGGCAAATCCTGGATATTGCCACTATTTCGTTTTAAGCACTTTATCTCTGCACCACAGTAAGACAGATATTACTAGTGGTCATAGAACAGGTAAATGTAGGCATGTTTTTTTGTTGTTTTTGTTTTTAATTTACAGTGTTAAGCTTCTAAGCTAGCTCTTTTGATCAGTCTTGTGGTGTAGTGCAGTGCATAAGTAGTTGTGATGCACAGGAAGTGTAGCGGTGCATTATACTGTAATAGTAGTGGTAATTAAAGCGAGTGTTGTTGCTGAAGTTAATGCTGTCATACCGCAGCTGAGCTGTGAGAAATTCTTCAGTCCTGCCTCATGCTTCTAAGGATCATCTTGTGGTCCAGAGAATGGTTAAATGGCAGCTTTCTACTTGTACAAGGGAAGTCATTTGCTCCTGCTCTAAGGTGAATAGGTGTTCAAAAGTAAAAGCTGTGACCTTGCAGAACACAAAATGAACACATCTGGCCCAATTATTGAAGAGCACAGATTGCTTTCAACTTTCTTCATCCCCTCCCTACTCTTTTTCTTTGCCGAAACTGGCTATTTTGATGATGTCTGTTTGTGACAGTAGTGCAGGAAAAAGTAAAGTGGTATTTTGAAGGAAAAAAAGCCACAAAGAAACCATGAGATATGTGAATTTTCTTCTGTTAGAGTACCCTGGTACTCGTTAGTTGCAGTTAGATTTCTGATGGCTAAGATTTCTGTAAAGCATCCAGAATGCTGAGTAGGTTTTCTGGTGTATATTGTTGTAGTATCTTCTGTGGTTTCTAAGTGAACAAGGTAGATACAAGATACATTACAACAGGTTTCCAGTTTCTCTAAAGTGTCTTTGAATATCAATTTCCTGTACCATGGTAGTTTTCTTCTGAAATATAGAATATCATCTTAGTTAATCTGCTTGGTGACGTGGGAAAACACCAGAGCTGTCGTTAGTCTAAACAGATCTCAACAAGAAAATTCAGCATTTTTTTCAGGACTTTTTTCTGTTTGGACAGTTCAGTAGTGTAGAAAAAGTGCATTGAATATGAAATTTAAGTTAATGTGTTATTTAAGTTGGCATAATGTTATGACCAACATGTTCAAGAGTGAACAAAAGTCCTGTGCAGCTGCAGGTTGATTGTTCCTTGTGTACTGTGTAAGGAGGCTCAATTGCTTCAAAAGCTAATTAGGAGTGGAATGACTGATAAAGTGAGTTGTAAATCTGTCTTTAGTCAAATCCGACACTTTAATGCCCCTATACTTTCTTCAGACTATTTGGAGTCTATGTCTTAGAGTAAAGAAATGCCATGATCTCCTGGAGATTCTGTTGCTTTTCAGCAGCTGATTTTACGTTCATTGTACTGCAGTATCCAGGAGTCAGAAGAAAATTTGGAGTCAGATATATTTGGGAAACCCTCATACAGTCCCTGCTTAGCTTTAAAATACCAAGATACTTGAGGCAAGACCAAGTTTGCATGCAAAGAAATACTGAACTGGCATTAACAGATAGATACTCGTGGCTCATGTAAATCATCTTAAAGTGTTTTGTTGCTATCTTATAAAATGCAACAAGAAAAAGACCTGTTAATTTTTTGAGTGTTTATAGCATATTTGTATTGGGAATTTTAGTCTTGTTAGTACTAAAAAAAAACCACATTGGGCCTCTGGACAACTGAGTTGAGAAAAATGCTAAATGCAGAAATTGTTTCTGTTTATATAATACAACTTTGAGATACAAATATGACTTATTTCAAAGCAGTATCAAGGTCTTTCTTAGTAAAGAACATGCAAATCCTCTACTTTTCCTGTTTCACCTCTTCACTTTCACAATGCCTGTTGTAGTAATTAAATATTATGATCAAATATTTATTAAATATTATGATCACTCTGTTTGGATCGAGCAGAGACTGCTAGTTTAGGAGTAGCATCTCAGCAGATTATTGTGATAGCCATCTGTATGTAGTGATGGTGCATTGCCAAGTGTTCAAGTAGTGTTGCCAGAGTTGGGTTTAGAATTTGTTAGAGCTACAAGTAGCAGAGATGTAAGCAGAAAAGCAGGATTTTGAAAATTTGCGTCTGTTTCTGATTTTTGCCTTTCCTGCACTCTGCCTTGTAACATCAAGTAATCTCACAGAGAGTGACAGGACAAGTTGGAATAGGGGTTTTGGAAATTTGGTTGAAAGAATGTAGATACTAAAGAACTTCTTCCATATCATTAGAGGAAGAAATGTTGACCTACCAGGTAGAAAAATAGTGCAGAGACATGCCAATGTAACATAAATATTTGTAGTTTTCTGTAGTGATGGTGAAACAGCTAGTAGCTTACTTCTCCAATCACAGCAAAGCAATCCCCTCCCACTGTATACTTGAACTTCAAATTAAAACACAAGACCAGAATAATGAGTGATTTATTATTTTTTTTAACTGTAGAGGAGACTTGTAATGGGTATTTCCTTCCTAAGTAGGAAATTTGTGCATGTTTTCGTAGTAGGTGTAAATGTTTGTACTGTTTCACATAAGCTTTAGTAGTAATCATGGGGGATTAATTTCTTCTGGGTTTATATGTTTATTACTCATATGTCTTCCTGTTCCTTTAAAAGAAAAAGATGTGCTCAGGATTAACTGAAAACATCCTGTCTCTCATTTCTCCCTCCTGCTCTCAGAAAGCTACAAAGAAAACTGACAAACCCAGACCAGAGGAGAAGGATGACCTAGATGTAACAGAGATGAGTAATGAAGACCTCCAAGAACAACTTATGAAGTATGGAGTAAATCCTGGCCCGATTGTAGGTAGGTCAATTGAACTAGTAGATACTAATCTTGTAACTCAGTAAAACTGAGTTTTATTTCTCATTAAACCTCACTTGTGAAGTTTCCCTGATATAGTTACTTTTTAGTACCAGTACTGTTGCAATCCTACTTTTCACCTAGGATATTTTCATTGAACTGTTTACGTTAAGAAGACTTGAAGCATTGTAGGTGGGCAAGTCTGCAGTTTGCTTCTTGTGTTCTAGGCCAGTGGGAGATATTCCAACTTGTGTTCTGAAGCTGTGTAACTGTTAGTTAAAGTTCAGTACTGTTAGGTCTGTTAGTTAGGTCTTCAGATACAGAAGTTTAAATCTGGGCTCACTTAAATAGGAAAGACATGTTACATAATAACCTAGTAGTATTGAGAGCAGAATGAGAACAGGGAACTTCCCTTTCCCTAGAGCATTTCCTAATCACTGCATTGTGCAGTAATGTTTTCCTTTGCCAATGTTTTTTTCTAGCCTAGCATTCTGTCCTGTGTGCTGGCCTGTGGAGTAGTCCTGACCCCAGCCTAATCTCCTGCCTTGGGCACTCAGATATCTGTGATGTGGGATCAAAGCACCTTGCCTTTCAGATTGTGCACTATCCTAATGGCAAGGGAATTTGATTTTGCAACTCTTCAAAAAAGATTGTTGTCTGTACTGTGCAGAGCCTTCTGTGGAATGTTCTTGAAATCCTAGGTGGATGGAAGTGTCTGTGACTAAGCCTGCAGTCCTGCGTATATTCAAAGCCTTATCTGTAATATTTTCAGTTAGCTGATTCTGCATGCCTTGCCATTCATCCTGTACCTCTTGGATAGTACTCAAGTATGAAAAACTCAAGAATCTATGTAGTCCACTGGAAAGGCATTTACATTTGGTCCAATTTATTGCCTTTAATTCTTACAGGGTATGGACTCTTTCTTTAGAGGCTGCCATGTCTTTTAAGTGGTGGTTTCCTCTTATCAGAAAACTTCAAAAGCTAGGATCTTTTTTTTCTGCAGCTAACAGCTCAAGCAGCAGTCACCTCTACAGGTTTTTGCCAACAAAGTCCAGATGTGGAAGTATGTGCTACATTTAAAATGTTTTAAGCAGCTGTCCTCTTAGATCGAGCAAGGCAACTTGATGGCTATGTGGTATCAAGCAGAAAGGTCTGTTGTTGCTGCTTGCTTGCACCACCTCTGATGCTTAATGGGCTGAATTTGCCAACAAGGCAAAGGCAGGGGCAGCAATTCCAGGGTAAGGGAGTTAGGAGAATAATAGTGCAATCTGCATGGAAATTGTTGCCTTTGTGTTGCCTTTTTCCCAGCCTGGAAATGAAACTGGAGATAATTTTAGTAAGGAGGTAATATAAAAGGGGATCTTTATTTGAAGGCCTCCAGGAGCAGTTGTGAAAAGGTGTCCACAAAAGCTCACCCCCACCCGCAGCGGTGAGTACAATAGGTTTTAGGAAATTAGCATCATTGATTAAAAAGTACTGATTAGGAGGACGAGTGGTGATGCAATTCTCCCTGCCAGGTCAAGTCCCTGCTCTGGAGACCCCACTTCAGCACTATTTGTAATTCAGCCAGGAGAATGCATCTTGATGAGTTGTTCTCAGCCTTGGTTCCCAGGAAGAACCAAGATAGTACAAATTGTACCTCCTGTGGCTTGGAGCTCTGGGATTTGTTTTGTCTTTCTGCTTAAGGGAAAGGCCATGGAAAAGTACTGGGAAAGCAAATCACTAATACACTAGACTACAGAGCTACACATATATGTGTGAAGAATAGAGAGAACATATAAAAGAAAAAAAAAGGCAATAAAATAAAATGGCATCACTTGTAATATCAAACTCACTAAATTTTTTTGGTGAGGGAATAGCAACTTGTATATTGCAGCATACAAAGCAAAAGATCTGAGAAGCTGGTAAATTCCCTTTCCATAGATTTCCTTTCTATAACTTTCAGTGTATGAAGAAGTCTAAGTTTATCTAAGAATTCTCTTAAACTGACAAGTTAAAGCCTTAGAGCCAGAGTTGTGTGCCTTGGGGTGTGTGTGTATATATAGAGAGAGAGAGACAGACTCTGGGTCATACAAACTGATTAAAAATAAACAACACATTATGTTCAGAAATTCCCAAAGAATATGTAACAGCCAAGTTCTATCAGTCAAGTCAGGAAAGATTAAAACTGTTTCTTTAGCATGTATCCTTCTTTGTTATAGCTACTACTAGGAAACTTTATGAGAAAAAGCTTTTGAAACTGATGGAACAAGGTCCTGACCTGAAGGGACCCGTGCCTCTCCCAGCGATTTCAGCTACTGAGAACACCAAACAGAATGGAAACAATGATTCTGACCAGTACAGCGACAATGAAGAAGGTAAGACTTGAGTGGAACTTGCATGGGAATGATTCAAATTATACATGAATGATACTTGCAGTAGAGATAACCTAAAGGGGGTATGATCTTGTGTTGGCATCGGTGCTTGGCACCACCGGACAGTGGTCTCAAACTGACTGATGCCATCAGTTTATTATCCTGTAGTAAAAACTCTCTACCTTCTCTGTGTGCACCCTCACAGGCAGCTCCACGCAGCACTGACTCCTTCTCTCCTTCCCTCTTCCAGACCAGCTAACTCCTTCCTGTCCCTTACTTGGCTGCCTGACCCTTCCTCCTCCTCACAGCAATGCCAGCAAAAGTCTCTCTTCTCCCTCCCTGTGCTCTCTGCTCCTAACTCTATATATTTCTTTTTCACATGCATAACACCTACATTCCCTTTTACTCTTTTGTGATTGGTCACGTCAGCATTCCACGCTTCTTCTCCTTCAGTTCTATTCACCTGTCTTATACAGCTGCACCCCCTTAGGAATGAGGCTGGACTGCAGCCCCATTCCTAATCTTCCACAATCTATTCTCCTACAGTCTTGCTGTTGGGTGAGGCTGTAAGATACTGTTGCAAGCCATGTTAGTCGTGCTTGATCATGCAGTACCAGCACAGTGATCCAGGTGCCTGTTCTGGGAAAGGAAACCTTTTGCTACTGAACTGTCTTTAATCCATTTTCCCCAGACTGGAGCCTGTAAATCCAGTAGACAGAATTGCATATTGGGTGTTTCAATGTTCTTTGCACGTTGTACTTAAGTATCAGTCCAATTTTGTCTTATGGTGCTCACAATAGTTATTTACTATGGGATATTGAATGAATGTTTGTTTATTAAACTTTTGTTCTTTTCTGTTTACTATCTAACACTTATGATTCAACCCCTTTTATGCGCTGTTCCTTATGGACTTAGTTGGGGGTAGGTTGATTGGTTGGTCCTGGGTGTGTTTTTTGTGGTTTTAACATCAAGTTTGTATCAAGAAAGTGTAGTGGTGGGGGAAGTGGAACACACCATTGTGCAATTTACAAGAAACAAAAACAGTATAGGTTTTAAAGAATTACTTGAATGGATTGTTAGAAGATGCTTATTTAGTGTGGTGTGGTTTTGGGAGTGGGTTTTCTTATTGTTTTTGCAGGAATTTTCATGAACACAGGACAGAAAGGGTTGAAATGCACCTAGTAATTGCATATTTGGACTTGTTTTTCAACTTTTATCTATTGCATTTTTCAGGGGAAAGGGTGTTAGAGATTGATTGATTTATTAATTTTTGTGATAGCCAAGAGCCGAGTCACAACTGACAGCTAACTTCATATAATTTCATATGCTTCATATAATTACTGAACTGTTCACACCCTGGGGAAAAATATCAAACCCAAATATTCCCCCTCTCCCCTACCAAAAACAAGTTTCTTTTTATAAGTAGGTCTTAAATGTGTCAGTGTAATGCTACTAGAATTTTAGAAAAGCAGTGGAAATAATGCATCTTCTTACTGGTGAGATGAGTGCTAACCACTCTCCCTTTCTACTGTGTTAAAAATGGGGTTTTATATAAAAGGACACAAATTAGAGGAAACTAAGCAACAACTTCAAACAACATTGACAAGCTTCAGTACCTTTACTGCAATAAACAGCAGAATGGTACTTCAGTTAAAAGAATTGCAATTTGATACCAGTTTCTAATGGAACTGCTGGATTGGTCAAGGCTTATCTGAAATGTAGGAGTTTTAGCACAAAATGTAAACACGTGGGTCAGTGCTTCAAAATAATTTTAAGATTATTCTTCAAAAACCTTTTCTCTTATACATTAATAGAGAAATATACCTGTTTCACAGCTTTTTATGGAAATGGCATCTCATAAGAGTTGTGTTGCCTCTTGAAATGAATTTTTATTAAAATATATTTGATTTCAACTAATACAACAGCCAGTAGTATTATAGAAACCAGTTTTATTAAAACTGTTTGCAGATCCGAAGACTGAGCTGAGGCTTGAGAAGAGAGAACCTCTGAAAGCCAGGACGAAGACGACAGCAGCACTCAAACAAAAAAGAGTTGTTGAACACAACCAGGTATGTTTATCATAGTGGCGTGGGGAACAACTACTAACTGCAGATGATGTGCTCACTAAACACCTTGCTTCTTTTACCATCACATGACTAAGTGAGCTATGCTGTTTTTTAAAGTTTTTAGAAAGCCTGTTCTAATATAGCATGAAAAATCTTGTGAATTAACTATAGTGGCTGTTTTTAGCATGTCTGATAACGTTCAAAGTTATGATCTGCTGTTTGTCTGACTTGCCAGCTGCTGTAGCACCTCCTAGAGAAGAGCAGGCAACCTTAACATGTTTAGTTTTGGAAATCTGACAGATTTTTAATTCATATGGGCTGATGGCTTTCTGTTGGACGCTTGTAATCAACTCGATTCTATAAAAGTAGTGGTTTCTCAAAAAAAAGTTTGGAAAAAGGGATGTGTGGCATTTTTTGTTTTTTTTAAGAAGTGTTTTTAAATACATATATATATTTGTTTAGCTAGCTATAGACATAGGTATGCATTTTAAATGCATCTGTTTAATGACTTACTTAAATACAATATGTATTTGGGTATATACCTATATGTATAGGTGTGTTTATATGTGTACATGCATACATTTGCTCTCTATGTAATATTTTTTCTTCAACTATGTTTGTAGCAGCAGTATTAGAGTAGACATGAATTTGTTGAAAAACTTCTCCTTATGAAGAAAATGGATAAATAACAAGTGTAGATCTCCCTGCGTGTACCACCTGGCCTTTACTTATAAACATTAGTTCTGCTGCCTTAATGCAAGAGGGATTTTACAGAAACACCTCTGATTTTCAAGCTGCTGAATATAGGGCTTGGTAGTTGATGGCTGATCTGTTATTCTGATGTGAAAGCATCATTAAATACCCTGTTCTTCAGCTTAGGATATTTAGTCTTTACAGTGCTCATCTGACCAGTAATTAGTGGAGTTATGCTACAGTAAAGGACTTGTAATGAAAGATTCAGTGACTCAGAATCTAACTTGTTAATTGCTTGGTGTATTTTTGCAGATCACAGTGATTTTTCTCAGTACTTTGTTAAATGCCAGATGCTTGCTACTTAGTGTATGTGTATGTATAAACATGCTTTAGCTACAGACAGCTCTTAAAGCAGGTTAAATGCTGCTATATGACTTTGAGTAATACAACACAGTTATGGAGATCTATAACTAGTTTGCTTATTTTAAGTTGGACTTTTAGGGTACAAGCTGAACAGATTTTACTTCTAAAAACAAAATGCACACGTAGCCCAATGCACCAAGTATTCTTTAATTTGTTTGGGGAACTTCTGCTTGTAATGGTCTTTATAATGAGCATTTTAAGAATTACTTTTTTTGGAAATGGTTATTCTGCCAGAAATCCCTGCCGGCTTCAGTGTAATAAAGATATTTAATTCTTCTGTCAACAAACAAAACTTATAGTCTTCAGAAACTCACAGAATAAGAGATTTAGTGAGGTATTTTTGTGGCATTTTAAGTGATTTGTTTACTCAATTTTTTGTCATCCAGTTTCACTATATTAGTATCAGGTCATTATTGTTTTGCCTTGCAGTCTTACATGTGCAGTACAGATGCAATATTTTGCAACTTGCATATTTTAATTACCAGGAGTTAATCAAAGGAATAATCAAAAAATTACCTCATTTCAAAATCACCAAATTCTTCAGAAACTCTCTTCAGTTTGTTAAACCTTTCACCTTTGAACATCTGATTGCTTCTTGAGTTTTTTTGGGTGTTTTTTAAATACAGCAAAGAGACAAAACCATATAAAAAACCCAAAAAAACCAGCCCCACCCCCCAGGAAAATATTGCAGCTGCTTGGGGCCAAGAACAACTTCATGCTTTTGGCTAGCAAATGTGTGTAGTCATGTCTTTTTACTGAGAACAAAACCAGAACATGGAGAAGATTTTTTTCTTTCCTTCCCTTCTTCCTGTGGAATTGCATTGTAGGTTTTCAGCTAATGTGTCAAGGGACTATGCTCATTCTGCAGAACTATTTCAACTGTTGAGGAATGTGTGGCATTGATGCAGAGTGTGTGGCTGAAGCATGGTGAGGCTGAGCTGATGGGCAGTGTGGTGTGAGCAGACTTGCTAGTTACTTCTGGGTCCTGTGTAACACTGGTTTTAGACCAGATGTACATAGCTGACAAGACTGTCATTTGGCATGGCTGGATGTAACTGCTCTTAAGAAGAGAATGCAGATAGATAGACAGTTATTAGGCAGACTGCTGCAAAAGAAATTGGGTGGGGAGGTTGAGCAGGCATATGGGTCTTATCAGTCAGTTAGTGGTCGAGTGCTGGATGAATTTGAGATCAGCTACTTGTGTTTAATTACCTCCTCATAGTGAAAAGTTGGCAGAAAACCCTAATTTAAATATCCCCTTCTAATCCAGTAGGTGAATCTAGAGTAGGAGTTCAAAACTCAGCCTGACAGTAAATTGCATTGGACAGAAGGAGGCAGGCTAAACAATGTAAATGTTAAGGCGCAGTGTAGAACTAGTCTCTTTCCTGAAACTTTGTACAGTGACATTCTGCATGTGCTATGTTCCCCTGCTCCTCCCTGTATTTTTTTTTGACTACCTGTATAGTAACTTGGTAAGTGGTAGCTGAGGTAAAGTCATAATCTGTAGCTCCACTGCTCATGAGTTACTTGACAGTTAGAAGCACATGCTGAACACTGCTTGTGTACTACACTGTTGTGGTTTCTCTGGTTACCTACAGGGTGTTGGTGTACCTAACATGGGTGTTACATTTTGATAGGGTTAGGGGCCTGCTCCATTGACAGTGGGGGTAATTATAACTGTAGACAATATTTTTTATATCTTCTTTTCTGTCTGTTGAATGTGTTGTACTGAAGTCTGGATGAGTTATGCAGTAGATTCTGGTTTTTCCTTGACTTTTCATGCAAGGAAAAAATTGAAACTTGGTGCTTAAAACATATGATTGGAGCATCCGAAGAAGAGAGGCAGTTATTAGTGGAGTGCTTCTAACTTTTCATTAGAAGATAAGAAATTTGTAGTCAAATAGTCTGGGATGGGGAGCTCTTTGTTACTAATATGAGTGAATTTGCTTTCCTGCTTTCCTGAGTGGATTGTACTGGGGTAAAAACACTCTGAAATTAGTGTTTTTTCTCTAAGCTTCTAAAGAACACCTCTTAAATAGAAAGTGTATGGGGTTGAGGTGGGGAACTGTGATTGTAGGTTGCAGGAAGGAAGAGAATGCAGTGTCTGGTAAATATTTAAGAAGGGGTTAGAAGATATTTCCTCTGTTAAATTTGTGAAGAACTTTGGAGAATTGGGCTGAAATCAACAATTCTAAAAAACCCACGAACTTGAATCTGTTTGGACCTGAGGTCTGTGCATTTGTTTTATAAAATACTTCAGTGAGTTTGGAAAGAAGTGAGGCACTTGTGCTCCCTCTGCTGGGCATTTAGTAGCTGTTATACAGAATTTATCATGGAACCATAAAGCTGATCAGCTTCTAGTTTCACTGTCCTCTCTCAAGTAATAAATACTTCTCAGCCTGTTCTCTTAACACATTGTTTTGCGGCTAATACTGTTCTAGTGAAGTAATTTCACTATTGAACCTGTAATTGACAGTTACAGTGTGTAACTTTATTTAGCAATGAGTGTAACTTCCAAAAACTTGATAATACATCACTGTATGAGGTGTTAATATGCAAAGATAGAAGTATTTAAAAAGTAATAATTTTTATTTTTAAACTTAACCAAATATAAAAGAAAATCTTGTATATAATCTAGAATAAGCAGCTTCACATCTCCCTTTCCATCTTGGAATTAGCTTTGAGGGGGATATCTGCTTCGAGCACGAAACTTGCAGTAAAGCGTAGGGAACGATCTGCATTTGTTAATGGCTATAAAAGTTGGGCGCTTCATGCTGTTACTTTGATTTGTGAGAGATCTGTATCAGGCTTGATTGTTTAAACCTGTTATGTGATAATTGTTAGTTTCATCCCTGTATGTAGAAATTTTTAAGATCATTTAGTGTCTCTCCCCGACCCCTGTGGCTGAAGATTAGTTCCTATTGAAATTTAGGTGGCTGTCCATAAACTGTGCCCAACTCTGCTTGAGAGAATCTATCAGTGTAGAGAACAAGGTGATGCTTTCTTCTTATGTTCATAGATTTGTGTGTGTGTGTAGGCAGGAAATGTAATGGGCCTGAAAGCTTCATGTCTGCTGTCCATGACTTGATGTAACTCCTTGTAGTGTTAGCTCATTCCAGGGCAGTGAGCAAATTAGCAGTTTTTACTAATTGGGCATTATCTATTCAGTTCTGTATTTGAACAACAATGTGCTGAAATGTAAATATTATGGTCAATGCTACTAATCTAGCTAGCTATTCATTATTGAATGTATTAGGATCCACAGTTCTTTGATTGTAGACATGTTGCTTTTGGAGTGTGCATGCTATTTTGGCTTTTGGTTGCGAGTATCCAATGTTTGGAGCTGGTTTTCATGTATATGATCATGTGTTTGATGCTTGAATAGACCTATTCTCAAGATGAAGTTACTGAGACTGTCTGGACAAGTGGATCTTCAAAAAGTGGACCTCTGCAGGCATTTTCTAGGGAGTCTACAAGAGTGTCAAGAAGAACACCAAGAAAAAGGGTGATGAGAGGCTTTTATAATAGACAAGTTTTTTTTTTCTCTCACTCTTAGGGTCCCAGTGGCTCTTTTATTCAATTGTTGTCTTTTGTTTGTTTTAAACAAACAGGTGGAAGCTACAGCACAGTTGCCTGTAGATGATGCTGTAATATCAGAGAGTACTCCCATAAATGAAACTATATTGGCTGCAAGCAACGAGACCCTAGTAAATATGTTTAATCAATTGTGGTATTCTTCTGTAACATATCTTCACTGACAGAATCATTCTGTTTTGGACAAATAGAAAACTGTTTTAAGGAAAGTAAGACTATTCAGTAGTCTCTGAAAACACATACTCGGTATCTGTTTTATTATACCTAATACTGTTCACTTTGAGATGGGACTAGGTCAACACCTAGGTCGCATCTGATGTCTGTTGTGGGGGGAGGGCTGTAAAAAAAACACTTTAAAAGCTTAGATACTTTCTTAATTTATTTAAGTACATGCAGAATATTTGCTTTTAAGTTTGGCTTTTCTTGTGAACTAAATAGCTTTTATGTTTCTAAATGGCTTAAAAGAAACCAGTTGGAATGATAAGCAGTGTGTTTCCTTTGCTGATCTTGGAGTATCTGTTACATAACCTTCTTGAGTTAACTTCTAACATGCATATATTCAATGCACATAAAGGTTTTGTTGTTTGGTTCTGCCACCTTGCCCCTTTTCATTTTGTATTTTGGCTGTTTCTGAGTGAACAATTTTGAATCTCGGCAGGTTGGCAATAGGGTGCCTGGAAATTTCAAGCATGCAGCTCCTACACTGTCAGTCAGTGAACTCTCAGACATGCCCAGAAGAACACCAAAGAAACCACTGATGACAGCTGAAGTAAATAAATTAAAACTTAGATTGCTCTTGCTTACTCTCTGTGAACAAAATTCCTGTGTGTATGTGCTTACTTCTTAGTACAGAGGGGGTGGAGGATGTCATTGCCCAGGTGACACCAGTCAAAAGAAACTAGTGTTGTCACATGACATAAAAGAGAATATAAACTTATTTTTATCTTCCCCTTTCAGATTTGTGTGTGTGTGTGAAAATCTGATTTTTTCTTTTTCCTAAGATAAATATGTTTTAATATGCTATTTCTCCTTGGGCTGCTATTTTTCTGAATAAAATGTAGATTTTTTTTTTCTTTTAAATTCTTTGAATAGCTCAAAGTAGAGTAGACTTGGGTTATCTCCCTTTGAGCTTGTAAATCAACCTATCATGAAAAAACACAATGTGCTTTAATTTAGGGAATCAAGTAGTAGAATGACTATACACCAAATTACCGAATTAAAAAAGCATCAGTAGATTGCTTTCAGTTATCAAGAAAGAAAATAATTCTTTAACTGTTAACCTATTCAAGCTGCCAAAAATTGTATCTCTTGGAGAACTGTCTAAAGCACCTGCAAGTATATGTAATTGTATTAATATAATACTGTAATGTTGTGGAATTTTACATTGCAAGATGCTGTTTGTCTGTTCATGTAGCTGTAGATAAAGCTGCTATTAACATTTCATTTACAATATGACTGCCATGTAGACTTAGTTGTCAAATAGAAGGTTGTGGGTAAACGTGATGTTCTATTCCAAGCTGCTGATGGGGGTTTTTCAGTCAGTATTTTAATGTAATGTGGCATGGTTTTTTACAGCAAGAAGAGACAGATTGCCCACATCAGTGCTTTTTAAATCATGTTGGTCACAACCAGTCCTGTGATATGCTCAACACAGCCATGATAGAGGTGATGGTTAAGTTTTTTTGATCATCTACATCATTGGCTGGCAGGTGTATAGGATTTATACAACTTATTCTTTATCCTAAAGGAAACTGAGGAGATCACTGAATGCTTTAAGACACCAAAAGTGACTGGATGGCTGCCAATAATTAAGGTTAAACAAACTTCTAAAACCCAAGAAGTAAACTTCTTGAATGTCACTGGGTGACTCATTCATTCTTACAAATTGCACATGGTTCTGGTCACTGAGACAGCTATACAGAAACTTTTTCTTTTGCTGTCTGTTCGGCCTCTAACTGTTTTTTGTTTCCTAGGTGCTGGAGAGAACTACAGAAGAAAGAAGAATAGAAAGGGATATTCTTAAAGAAATGTTCCCTTATGAAGTATCAACACCTACAGGAATTAGGTATTTCTAAAGTTTATGGCGCTTCTTTTGTCAGTTCTTGTAAACCTATTTAAGCTGAGAAATATCTTTTGATTATATTGATAGAGTTCCGAGAAACAATTTTTGCACTCTGGCTCAATGACATTTGTGACAGCCACCTATTTTTCCATTCTATATACATAAATTTGTTACCAAAGCAGCCCCATCTTTATTTAAACTGGAGAAGGGAGAACAGGGTGGTACTATAGTACAAATTAGTACCAGAATTTCTGGATGGTGAAAGTTAAATGAAAAGAGCTTTTTCGTGGTAATGACTTGCAATATTTAAGTTTTTGGCTAGATGCAACTGCTTAGGCCTGCTTTTAAATTAAGGAAAGATCTCATGGCATATATTTGAGTTGTCTTTTGCAAAGCCAGACAGAACTTTCAGATACCTTATTTTTTCCTTTAAATGGCAATCATGTTGTTTAATCTTATCATGAATGAGGATGGCATCTAGGAAAGGCTATTACTTGTGGGTTTTGGGTTTGTTTTATGGTTTTTTGTTTGGTTTTTGTTTTTGGTGTTTTTTTTGTGTGTGTGTCTTTATATTTAAACAAAGATTGAAGCAACCCTCTGGTTAATTGGCCAATTAAAAAAAACACTCTGCTTAGAGCATATGAGAAAAAGTTTCCCCACGTTAAGATGTGAAATCATCTCCTGTGTTTCCAATATGTTAATTATAGCTTCAATTTAAACTGCAATTGCATAAAGTCTTAACCATAAGGAGAATATATAGTACTAGTTACTACTGCTGTGGGGCATCTGCTGACCACTCCGAATTTGCTCTCCTGTTTTGAGGTCCAGTTAAATCCATACCACTTTTTTTTTTAAAAAAAAAAGTAAAAATCATACATGTATACTTCTTGTATATTAGAATTTGGAAGTGTACATGTGGTTTTTTAATCCTTACTGCTCTGTCTTCTGGCTCGGTTTTGGCTTAGCCATCAGTAGATATTTTATTGGCCGGAAATAATCTTTTGTTTAGAAATTCCAGTGGGGCTGCAAAAATAATCATTAAGAAAGCAAATAGAAGGAGACACTTTCTACAGTTTGATTGCAAGTTATGATCCTTTCTGTGTGGATAGGATGAAGTGGCATTTGAGTTTGTTTTTTTTAAAGACTGATTGAACACTGAATTACTAACTTTATTGTGTCTATCGGTCAAGCTTCAAAAATCGTATTACAGGTACTGTATTCACCAGAAATAATTCTTAGTTCTTTAATTATACTAAAACTTCCCTACGTATTTTAGATTGCTCTTTTAAATATGCAGTATTTCAATTTTTTTTTCTTTTTAATTCACAGTGCTAGCTGCCGTAGACCAATCAAAGGAGCTGCAAGCCGGCCTCTGGAGCACAGTGACTTCATACTGGAGGAAAGTTACTCTAAGTATGCACAAAAATATGGTACCTCGACTGACACCAAGTCGGAGAAACCAGCAGTAAAAAAACAGCGCCCCGTCCCCCTGTGGATAAAAGTTTTTCTCTTTGTTGTTGTTTCAGTCTTCATGTTTTTGGTTTATCAGTCAATGGAAACTAATCAAGGAAATCCTTTTTCTAAATACATGAATATTGTCACTCAGGGCAGTGCCAAATGAATATCTTTCTGAAAGGCACACCCAATTTGATCTCCTGTTTTTTAATTGTAGAGAACTCTCCTGCCCTCTCATCGGCTCAAGGACTTCTTATAAATAATGTGATTGGAACCTGATAAATTGGATAAATGAAGAAAGATAATATTAAATGGACATCGGTAACTTTCTGGACTTTGGACAAGTAGGAGATCACTGCCATAGGAGTAACATTTTTTTAAATCTTTGAACTTTTTTAGGCTTTATTTTTTTAATGTGGACATCCTTTAAATTCACTTTTGAGAAAATGTATATTTGTTTTTGCAAGAACTTGGAAGCTGAGAAGGGCAAAAATGTAGTAAAATGTGAAGCTGTGTCTTTAAAACTTTTCATTTGTACAGAAAAGAAGTTGTACTTCTGTCTCTAGATTATAGCGGAGAAGGATTTTAATATGGGATAAAGGGAAATGCATTTCATTATGCATTTTTGCAGTAACAACACAACTGAATTTGAGCTCTTAGGATGTAGAGAGAGTACAACAGCAGCCTTTTCTGTAGATTACTGTAACTTTAGTAAATGTAACTGTAAACCTGTTTGCATTTCTGTAAAAGTCTTAGTATCATATTAGTAACTGTTTAAGTGTAACTTCATTTAAATGTATCCCTTCATTTTAGTGCTTACAGTGTTGTAGGAGTTGAATACAAATCAAATTGGCAAGGGATGTATTAGAGGAACTTATTTATTAGTAATATGTGTGGGAAATAAAAACTACATCATAACAATTTGTTACTAAAATACTTTTTTGGGTCAAGATTGTTATCTGAAGCAGTCTAAATTCCAACCTTAGCAGTGGTCTTTTTTCTTTCTTAAAAAAGCGAGGTCTTTCCAACACAGCTTTATGTGATTATCTTTAAATATTTGTGTAGAGAAGTATTCTCAAAGTATGAAAATTCCATATGAAGTTTTATTCTTGTATGAAGAGGGCATTGCTGCATTTTCCGCTACAGTTTCATCTTTTAAGGTGAGATTTACTACTTTCATGCCATTGACTATTTTTCTCAGTGGAAGCATGCTGAAACACTCTCTATTGTGTAACTTGGTTGAGCAGGCAGCTGACTTCACTACTACCAATGAAGAGTGATAAGCAAAAATTTTTTTAAAGTGAATGTATACATTTTTGGTGTGCTTAAATCTGCAGCATACAGATGTTCAGTCTTATTGCTTGGTACAAAATTGCAATAAATCATACTACTTATTCTTAAAGTGCTACTTATAAAAAGCTGAGAACATTAGTTAATAGTCAATATCTTTTTACTCTAGGTACAATTATTGTGTAGACTATAGCTATGGGGAAGCTTTACTTTGTGAACTTTGGGACAAACATGGTAATTTGTAGCAAAGCAATAGTTTTGGGGTTTTTTTCCTGTTTAATGGTTTTTTTCCTTCTAAACTGCTTTTTTGAGTAATCCAAATAGCTAAACCTGTGTCCATCCTATAGAGAATTGTAACATAAGACATTCACTTTTGGTGTCAAAAATGGAGAAAAATAAAAATGATTTTAATGTGTGTGGATTTTCCTTATCAAAATAAATGCATTGCTGAAAGGCAGCAAAAGCAAGACAAATGATGTATCAGTGGTGTCATTTTGTGCTGCTACGGTCTTCCATATTGAAAAAATATTTGAAATCTGATAATAAACTCAGGTCAGTTCATGTCACTTGGTGGGAGGAATATTCATAATATTTGCAGTATCAGAGTTTTGTGCCATAGTCCTTTAGCCTATGTCAGGCCTTTAGTTTGGATGAGGGGGAGAAAGTAGCTTTCATTTGTTTTTCAATGCTAAAGGAACTTCCTTTTCACTTTAAATTATTTCTCACACCATGTTTCTGCATGTTTGCATGTAAAATATATCCTTTTTTCCTAGTTACAAGAAATACTTTCAGTTTGCCTCTGCCAGGGGTACTATTAATATCATCAAAGAAAAAAAAACAAACTACAATCAAAACAAACTACAGACTGAATTTTCTTGCAATTAACTGTCATCATTCTTTCATTTTTGCACTGTTTTGGAGAATGCTTTCAACTTCAGTGTTGCCTCACAGACAGTAAAGAGTTTCTAGAAAAGTCCTCAAAGTAACCCACCCGTAGTTCAGTTGTAGTTAGGAGGCAATGCATCTTCGATAAAGGAATGGGCTTTTTTATATTTCAGACACTTAATGGTGTGTGGTAGCCCAAAGACTAGGATCTTTCTCCTGGTCCCAAAGTTGAATTTTTCATGGTATTCTAAGAGTAACACATATAATAATGCTATGAGCTGTATATGCTTAAAGCCTTCTAACTAAATGCTGTATAAATTAAGCTGTAGTATATAATTCTACTGTAGTCTTTGTATCAAAGTGCTGAAGCAATACACACTGATGTTCCTTTTTTTCTTCCTTTTACACATTCTCACGTTTGTTCCATTAGTTCATCTTGGTTTTTTTAGACAGAGCCAGCTTGAACTTTCAGAACCAATGAAAAAAGAGTAATTTTAGGGACTAGTATCCAAAATCCAGTTGCAAAAATGAGTAGAGTTCTGATGTAGTAAGTATTGTTTAAGAAGTCCCCTTCAGGGCAGGGGCCACAACAAGCCTGGAAAAGGCCTGTGGAAGTTAATGGGTGTGACAATGTTATTTTGGGTTTGGTGGCTTTTGTTCTCATGATTGGTCATACTGCTCAGAATGTTGTGCTGAAAACCTGGCAGGTCTTGATTTCCTGTCTGAATTGGAACTAACGCACAGCTTGTATTTTTCCCTTTAAATTCTGTGCTAATAATTCAACATTTATCCAGTCTCGGGAGCCTGGTATCAGGTTGTGGATCACTAGATTATTTCACTTGAGATTAATTTTACAGCATCTGATCCATGATGAGAGCATGAGAGCTTCAGTAGTCTAAGACAATAAATTTTCAAGAAGGATCTTAAATTTAAATTCTGTGTGTTTTAAGACCTTGATTTGTATTTCAATAAGAAACAGCATGAAAGAACTTCAAGTTTACTTGCTAACAGCATGCTCAGCACTGCCCTACAGAATGATTTTGGATCCCTCCGAGGCTTGGGCTATGTGGGTTTTTTTTTTTTTTTTTGGTGGCATAATTTACAAAACTCTTTATGGTACTAAAATTCCTGCTAATTACCTTCTCTACTAGTTTTGTGGACAAGATGTCTTTAAAAAATATGTTAACTTGTTTATGCAGAGTCAAAGCAGAAAAGCTGACTTTATTAATCTTTAAATAATACAAGTCCCAAAGAAAACTCAGCAGTAAAATTTATGTAATTGCAAATGAAGCTGGTAAAATTGTGTGGCATATTTTGTGCATGGTACATTTGGCTTACTTTGATATGGCTTAAGTAACATATTGGGTCAAATAGATACAGGGGTGTGTTGTGATGTATAATTTTAATTTTTTTGTTTGCAAAGGTAGGTGTTTCAGCATATCCTTTGTTAATATGGCTTTTATTGTGTGTTTGGTAAGTCTACCTCTCTTTGTCTGAAGCTGTCCTTAGACTTGCTTTTCCTGAGGGAATTTACCAGTCTGCTTTGCACCAGTGCAACAGCAAGTTACTACAATGGATATATACATGCATGTTTCAGACAGCACAGGGTCGCCAAGTTAATTGAACTTGTAAAGCAGTCCTAAGGTGGCATAAACACCTGTAAGTACTGTGTATATGCTGATATAAAAAGAAATCTCACGAGTTACACCTCACTTTGAAGTTCTCTGTTAGCATTGGTAGTCTGTGGTTAAAACATAATAACTGCACTGTCTTATTTGTTCTCTAGAAAAAAATGTGATGTTTAATAGATACAAATCATGTACTGTGTGAGAATTAAAAAAAAATTAAATATTATTAGACAAGGATATACATGGCAGCAATTAATAAGAATAATAAGATTCCACTACTTACTTCCTGTGTTGAGGATAGGTGACTGCTGTTGTCCAACCTTGGAAGCCTGGTTTCTGGTGAAGGAAATGCTGCAACTTAAGGTTTCCCTTGGGCTGTAAAACCTGATCCATTACTGACTTTAGAACCATGGTCTAGTAGTTCTGGTGTTGAAATAAGGAAAGTGTATATAAAATAAAAGTTTACAAGCCAAGCACATGCTGCTCTGCTAACCTGATTATCAAAGGTGTGGATGGTTGTTTCAGTATCTCGTATATTTTTGAAAACAAGGTCACCTGGGAAACAAGCTCATAAGAGCTTTGATTTTGCTTGCAGGCTTTACCAAAATGTTAGAATTGTGAAAAGTTACTGTAAGACAGGAACTAGCCTGCATTTCCTTGATTGTATGCAGTTTGAGGTGAAATTAGGGTGGGAAATGGAGAGGATATGCGGTGGGTGTTACAACAGAAGGATAGATGAAGTTAAGAACACTCCAGAGCTGCAATCTGAAATTTTCCTAACCTCATAAAACTTACAGCTACTGATTAAAAAAGATGGATTTAATTTACTGTGAATTGGACAGAGGGTGACGCTAGAATGTAGCATCTTTCAAGTCTTCACCTATTACTACCTTCAATGTCTCTCAGAAATTAATTAAATTAATCTAGATGGTTTGAATTACAGGCTATTGCTGTTTCATTCCTTCACATCTGGGAAAAGTTGTAGGTATTTTCTTTGTAAACTTATATGTATTCAGTAAGAACATATATTATCCCTGTATTTTCATGGGGCTATGTTAGACTGCTGTTTAGTAAGTCTTGTTAATAGTACAGCTGTTAGAAGTTAATTGTCACTTAAAAACCACTCACAGTTTGTTCTAGAAAAGTTCTACAGACCAATTCATAAGCATTTGTATAGCTGTGCACATAAATCACCATTAGATGTTGTCTATAAGTGGTCATCTGCTCATGCTTTATAATTGGAAGGAACAGAGGTTTTCCATATGTTAAAAATTGGAAGAGTCCGCAAGAATTGTAATCATTTTTCTGCAGTTTGAAGATAAGAGCCCAAGTCTCAATTGTCTAGAGGTTATCTATTGAAATTGAAAATAATGTCAGTGTTTGGCTTTAAAATAAAATATTGTTACAAATAATTGTTTAGAGGCGAGTAGAGCAGAGCAAGTAATAGCAAAATGAACTATTATGGCTTGTTTTCACTGCTGCCACTGGCAATGAATTCAACAGCTCTTTGGGCTCTCAGCTGGTTACTAAACAAAAGTATTTGAAGAGTGCAAGTTTCATTTGACCTTTTCCTGCTTGAGCAGCTGGAGTGTAGTTTATTCAAGAGGCACTTAACCAGCCTTGATATTTGTGATAATGCTATTGGGCACTTTTGTCCATTTTAGACAGTCCCCCTGGATTCACAACTTTGTTGTGAAATAGAGAGAGTAGAGCCAGAGCCTAAGGGCTTTCCTTGGAAGTTTCACAGGAGCTGAGTAGAGTTGGGGTGTTTCTTCAGTGTGGTGTTGCTGGTATGCTGTCATTTGCCCAGAAGTAAGATCTGGGATGTTCAGCACATTGAAGAAGTCTCTTGCCTTCCTGGCTTCTGTGTGTATGCTGTTGCAGAGCACTATAATTGAAAGAATATGATCAAAACAATGAAAAAGTGGAGTTACTGCATCTTCAGTAACTGGACAGCTGAACTTGTCTGTGCTAGTCTTGTACTACATAAATCACTAAAACGAGAGAACTCACCCTGTGTTGGAAAAGGCATAGTTAAAGGTAGCTAAGGCCAAGCATGGGTCCTATGTTACACAACATTCTGCTTTTAACAAACCAGTAAGAAGCAATTCTGTGAGCAGCTGCGGGTGTTGTAGCATGTAGTACAGGCTATGTCATGATGCCCTGGAAGCTTACCCTCCAAAGGTGGAACTTGGCCAGGGAGTCTGCAGGCAGTGCTTGGCGCTAGAGCTGACCCTGCTTGGGTTGACAGAATTCCGGAGTCTGTTGAGAGGATGAGATACAACTCCCTCAGCTTTCTGCTGAGGGACTTGCAGCCCGTGTGTTTAGCAGTGATTAGAGAGCATTACTAGATGTGATTACTAGACGTGTAACCTGGGGTGATACCGAGGACTTCTTTAAGCTAATCTCAAAAAATGGGTGCGTTGCTAGGGGCTGGACTTGATCTTCAACATCTCTTCCAACCCTGATGCTTTCATGATTCGGTGTGAGCGCTGCAAAGCACGGGTCCAGGGCAGCACAGGGAACTCGCGTTCGGGCCTTGCTCAGGTTTGACATTGCCCGGGGCGAGGCCGTGGGAGGCACGTGGCTTAGTTGGCAAGCTCCCCGAGCCGGGCAGCGATAAGGAAGGAACGTGAGCTGAGGCGCGGGGTTCATCGCTGCAGGGTGCGCTCACACAGCCCGAGCAAGGGCCACAGGCCCTGCCGGGCCGCTGAGGGGGGGCTCGGCCCCCCGGGGCGCAGGCGCGGGTCGGGCGGGCGGTGGCCGCGCGTGCGCAGCGGTCGGTGTGGCGCCTCCGCCAATCGCGGCGTGGGTCGTTGCGCGGCGGCCCCGCCCCCGGCGCGGCGAAGGACAAGGTGACGGCGCGGGGCCCGCGTTCAGCCTCTGCCGCAGCGGCTCCATCTTGTGAGGTGAGTCGGGGCGGCGCGGGCCGCCCGCCCGCCGGGGACCGGACTGAGCCT